CTAAGAAATAACCAAATGAAAGATTGATATGATATTGTTCCGGACGTGAAGAAACCTACTCTCTTTGCCTTGAGTCATCATTTAAAGACTTTATAAGRGCCATCCCTCATGTCTTCAAAGTCTGCCAGTATTTTCTAGACGTTTTATTGCTYAACCCTACAATGATCAATATCTTTTAGCTGACTTCGAAAAACACTTCAAAATGGGGACACGTATTTTGAATCGGCGTAATACCAAGGGACATTGTCTTGTTGGCTTTCTGCTCAAAGGCTAAACTATTAAAAATGGATGTCTGTGTMTCTGAAAACATCTAATATAGGGACATCAGAGAAGCGACATTCAAAACTTGGTAGATATATAACACGCCGCCCCCAGCACTGGAGAATAATATTCTTATGTAAATCGGAAAATTCAATAAATATCCTGGTAGAGTTCGGCAACTCGTTGCCTTTTATGATATACTTTTTGAAMGCGCATTTCCCATTAGTGGAAGGCCAAACCACATGTGAGTAACTCCAAAAGMCTCTTCCTGACTAGTTTTAGATGCAACATTATTTCCCAATCGTTTCATTGTTAAGAAAGATTGTAAGAAGTTATAAAACATTGGCCTTTTGAAATAGTCACACTGACTTAAAGTCATTTGGTACTTAATAGCACCATTTTGACACCCCATGATGGAAACACAGCATTCATATCCGCGGTATTACAGCTTGTTTTTTTAGTTACTTTGGTTTGGTTCGGGTAAAAGTATTCTTGTCCTCCTTTTAAATTTAGCTTTGACCGCCTGTCGTAATTCCTTTATTCGCCATAAATACACCAATGGATTTACTGCTGAATTAGCGTAAACCAACCATTCGCCTACTCTTGTCAAGTGCCTAAGTATCGAATCTTTCGGCTTTAATATTGACTGCAGGCCTGCGAAAAAGAAAACGGGTACATAAAATGATAATATTGTAACTAGTATTATCATCATCGTATTGAATGTTCTTCGATATTTTCTGACATCAAACTGCGAGGAGCCACTGGGCAACTGTTGGTTGATGTTAATAGTCTGTGAAGTGGTCTTTCTTAAATTATAAAATGAAAGCGATGAAAAAACTATAATCATAATTAACATCGCTATAAGAAACAAAATTGCTGTTGTCCAAGTGACCCTTAACATTTTTGCTAACTGAAGGCGTTCCATGTTGAGAATAAAAGCAGAAAGCAATGTCGATATTATGAAGACAGTAACCCATGCCGACCTCGACACACAGGCAACTCGTTTATTAGTAACAATATTCTTATAGCTGAACTTGTATTTGATGGCCAAGAAACGATCAATGCTTGTGATCATTAGAAAGYATAGTCTTATTGAAGAAAGGCTGAAAAGAACTTGAACCAACCCTAGCCAGACTTTACACCAGGTATTTATCATTCCCTTCAGCAATAAGATATTTCCAAGTGCAGCCAAGGGACAAGCGATAGTGCCGATAAAGAAATCTGCTAATGCCAAGTTTAGGACAAGCGCTGTTGATGGTCTGTGTAACGATTGAGTCTTAAAAATCGTGTAGATTACARCAAAGTTTAGGAAACCTGTTGGCACGCTTAAAGCAAAGAAGGCTGAAACTAAGGATTTGCGAAAACCAGGGTGAAGGGTCAAGAAAGAACAGTTCTCCATTGTTTAAGGTTTAGTTGTTTACGGGTTGTTGAACAGCTATTTTGAACTTCAGAAACAAGTCAGGGTAGTGAGGTTTCTTTAGACGATGGTTTTCACGTGTGAACTCCTTTTCGAACAGGGTCTGAATGTTATTTTGTTTCACTCGTTTTGTCGCTATTGAAAAATATACAGTAGACTGCGTGCAGCCGAACCAAAACTGTTCTTTGTTCGTCTGTGAATCAGCGACGAAAACCGTGTTTCTTGTACCGGGATATATGTACTTCACTCTTATTGGCTGTTTAGTTTTGAATTCTAAGTGCACGCTCATTGGCTACTGTTAACTCGCTCCAGGCCTGCGCATATGTCAACGTTTGTCTCRGCACTTTTTTGGCTTTTCTCGCTGTGAGCGACTGTTTTATGGAGCGATACTGTACACTCTGTTATCTAAATATTGTCAAACATTTCAGTTGAATCTAAATCTAAAGAAAGTTTGGTTTAAGAGACAAGCTAAATAGTGTCCATTTTAAATGTTGACGGCGGTCGTTGAAGCAGACTGCCTCGACTGACAATTGTGTTGTGTTCTTTTTCGAGTAAGACTGCGAAATATCCGAAAACGCTGTAAAGATAGTTTGCGTAACGGTCCTAAGTAACGCTGGTAAGCAGCCGCTACTATTAACAATAGGTGCTAGTACGTAGACCTTAGACCTTTCCTGAAATCATAGTGCATTGTGGTCTAGCTTCAGCACAAACAACACCATATTTGGCAGCATGAACAAAAGATATTTGTACCGAATCTAGAACACAATGCAATGCAAACTGCTACTAAGAAAAGGCCTATGTTAAAGGAAGACAAGCAGAACGGAAGAGAACTTAGTCCTCTAACTTAAAGGGACACTGTCAATGGCACGCATGCGCGAGTAAACTTGAAAACAATAGGCTAGTTTTCAAGTTTATGACTCCAAGTTGGCGCGACATAAATCAGATCGTAAACGTAAACAGATCTAGAATATTCCAAAGTTTGTCAAAAGCACCACAAAATGATTTACCTCGAAGGTAATACTTTCAAAGTCCGTTAGAGGTGAGACTGTTACTGCGCATGTCATCCATTGACAGTGTCCCTTTAAGAGAGAACCAAAATCAGCTTTTATTGCGTGAAACGTACACAAGCACCAGACTGCTATTTTCTTTGTACCCTATGGCCCAATAGACACWACTTAGTGGATTAGCAATATCTGTTTCACGGATTTAGTGTGAATAATCTATTTTGAATAATCTATTTTGAATGCGTCATAGGCACTTTAAGAGTAAGCATTTTTCTTCTATGCAGGGTTTTCTACATTTCCTTCAGGAATTGCTCCTGTTCTTCTTTTGCATCTTTCTTTGACTGCATCTCGTAATTCCTTCATTCTCCATAAATATACCAATGGATTGACAGCTGAATTAGCATAAACGAACCATTCGCCTACTTTTCTAAAATACCAAAATATGAAATATTGTTTCCGCGTATGCAGCAAAACTGTGRAAACGAAAACAGGGACATAAAATGRTAAAATTGTAAATAATATTATCATCATTGTACTCAAAGACCTTCGGTATTTYCTCACATTAAACTGCGAGGAAACGCTGGGTAATTGTTGGTTGATATTATCAATCTGTGCGGTGAKTTTTTTTAGTTTATGGAATGMCATCGATGARAAAACTGTTATCGTAATTAGCATTGTTATTATGCTAATAGTACATAGAAATACCGCCCCTTTGAGCTGCTTCTCACTAAGAGAAAACGCAGAGAATAAGATCGATATTATCAASGAGGTGATCCAMCCCARCCTTGTCCAAAATGCAACGCGTTTATCWGTAACAACGGTCATGTARCTAAACTCTAGTTTGATGGCCAAGAACCGATCAGCACTTGTYATCATGAGAAAGTAAAGGCGYGTTATGGTGAGAATGAAMAAAAATCGTACCATCGCTGACCCGAGYTTGCAYACCGTATCTATYTTGCCTTTAAGCCATAGAGTAYTCCCCAATGCACCCATAGGGCACMCGATGATACCAGTAAAGAAATCYGCTAATGCCATGTTTTGGACAAGTGTCATCGATGGTCTGTGTAAATTTTCAGTTTTCCAGATAGTGTAGATAATCATAAAGTTGACTGMAATTGTTGGTAGGCTAACTGTAGAGAAAGCTGCTATTATAAATATCCGAAAGTTRGGTTGAAGATTTGATATGAATAACGAAGAACAGTTCAACTCCATGACACTGTTTATAATGATTACTTTTTCGCTGTTTGCTCGAATACACACCCCTTAAGTGAAGATCAATCGATAGTATATGTCAAATTGGCTGAATTTCCGCTAAGCATTATGTATTTTGACGGACTCAATGAGAACTTTAGCCTGGAGGTTCGCTTACATGCTGTGGACACATCAATACGTTTTATACAAGTTCTAGYTAAAGCTAAAGTGGTTTTCGCTTGCAAACTGTTCACGCTGATTCTGTAGACAACTTAGTGGTATGATCGCATAGACTTATGCAAACTAGTCGAATAAAAGGGTTTTCAATACTTTTCCACGGTGGCAGATGCTGAAAAAGTGAACTATGAATTGGTACTYTTATAATACATTTACTGCTTGTTCGTTTGGATGCRAAGTGATCACTTGAAGACATTCAAAAAGTGGTCTCTTTGGGAGAACGACTCAAGAGTACGAAATRAAAGGCTTATTGTTTCGGACGTGAGGAAACCCCTTATTGTCTTGACTCATCATTTAAAAGACCTCTAAGAGCCTTCTCTCATGTCTTACAGTGTGCTAATCTTTTCTATATCTTTTAGCTGACTTCGAAT